ATCGGAAGTATCGATATTTCAGGATCGATCCGCACATCACTAACTGGTACTGGTGCGCGGACCGGGGTTGTGGCCCCCGATCTTTACAGTATTCCATTTACAACCGACCCTTCAAGGGGAACTGTATTGCTGATGTGGCCCCCGGTGAAAATGAGTTTGACACCCTCCCCCGTCCTAGGCTATAGACAAGTAAGGGGCAGAGCCTACCTCCACTCTTGTGCCATCTGGATGCTCCAGGTAAACAGTGACCTGACCTTGACCCGCACTGAACGTGTCCACAGTGAAGATGGCAGGACACAGGACTCTGTTTCCTGTGGGTTCAATTCCTAAGAAAGAGCAAACCATTTAGAGCAAAAATAACTGTGACCCAGTCCAACTCCAGCGAGGGTCACACGGTCCCTGTGACTGGACTGCTGGTTTTCTTTATAAAATTTGGTCTGTGAGCCATGCTAGACTGGTTCTACAAAACCCTCCCGCCGGGTTTAGAATAAAGGCTCGATCAAGGTTAACATCAAATCAGTACATCCTGTCAGTCTAAGTGTTACATTCAGTCAAGGACTGAAGTCTCAAACTCCAACCGACTGCTGGTCTGATCTAAGGTCAAGAGCTACATTCCCCATCTAACACCAAAATCTCAGGCTTCAATTTGAAACACACTCATGTTTACACATCTACCCAAAATCTAAAATAATAATTCTAGATACAGAACTAAGAATAATACTCCGTGTGTACTCTCTTATGTTGTCAGTCTGGGTACCTGGTCCATAGACCCTGGTCTTCTTTGGGTTAAGTTTCAGTTTCAGTGGAGCTCCTGGTTTCAGTTCAGCTTTAGGAAACTGCGACAAGTAGGTCATGATTGACTGTTCATCCACACTGGGGTCGATGATCTCCTCTGGAGCAATCACCTAAACATTAACACAAAAACCCTAAGTATCTACAAGTCTGAAGGTCTACAGGTCAGAGGGTCTACGGGGTCTGAAGGTCTACAGGTCTGACGGGTCTACATGTCTGAGAATCTACAGGTCAGGGGATCTACAGGTCTGAGGATATGCAGTTCGGACAGTCTACGTGATGTACCAAGGACACAGTTAGATGTGAGCTAGTTGGGAAGCAGAGACAGTCCAATGTAGAGACAGTCCATGGACACAGTCAGGAGATAGTGACCTGTAAGACAGCCTTAGTGCATTGTCATAGTGGTGTTCTCAGCCTTAGTGCATTGTCATAGTGGTGTATTGGGGTAAAAACATTAGAAGTCACCTGTGGGATTCCCAGCCAATCGTCAGCTAGCTGCATGGCCTCTGTGGCATTTTCTACTGGTTTAACTGGATCCCAGGTTTCCCAGTCTGGACACAGGCCTGTAGACAACAAAGGGAGATGAGTGTGTCACTCAGACCAAGCAGCAGAACAGCATGGGTGTGGGTCTACCTGGAGCACAGCTGTCCACCAGGGCTCCCAGGGCTTTCCCATCTCTCCAGTCCTGTCTGAAGTTGCTGATGGGAAGATCTGGGACTTTTTGCTGAATCCAGCCCAGGAGGCGCTGTTTAGGGGTTTTTGACTCTGTCTGTAGACAACAAGACCAGGTCAGTGACAAGTGGACGTGTCCTGTTGACATCATGCATCACTGGCATCATGCATGCAATTACATCACTGGCCTCACCTCCTCCTCTCCCTCCCAAATTGGCATAGAGATAGAGTAGTGCAGGATCAGTGTCCAGACCAGACCCAGGATCAGCTTTAGGTTCCCATCCACGATTGCTTTTGAGTCTAGAAAGAAACAAAGAAAGTTCTTGAGTCCCCGGTCTGGATTGAAGATGATGGCTGACTAAGTGGTAGCAGACTGAGGTTTTCACCTTTGACCTTTTTTTCACCTTTTTTTTTTTACCTTTGACCTTTCACCTTCTCAGGTTTTCACCTTTGACCCTTTGAAGTTACAACTCTGGTACAATTTTACACAATTGTGGAAGTGTGTGTCTGTGTGTATTGTATCCAATGGCTGTTTTTGTGTTCAGACATGTCACAGCAGCTCAATCTTCAGGTTCAGGTGGATCCAAGTGTGTGGCGGAGGGTGCGGTCTGTGGGCCTCACCCATGTGAGGTGACATCATCATCTTATCTTACAATGTGCGTGCATGTGTGAGCTCACTCATGGGAGTGATCAACACATCACGCTGACCTTTGGCCACAGAGGGTTAGTGTTTAAAAAGATACTACCTGTTAGATAGAGTCTGGGATAATCAAAGTGCAGAAACAAGTAAGAGGCTGCAAGCACGGATGCATGAAAACACACACTTGCAAACAGGTCATAAACAGGAAGAGGATCTGAAGTATATACAAACACCTACAACCACTCCTTCGCCTTTAACCAAATTTGTAATCTGCGGAAAGGCGTGAAATAAATAAACACAACCGTTGGTCAAAGTCAGAAAGGAAAAATTAGAATCACAATAATAATTACTTCATTGATCCCCTGAGGGAAATTCCCTACGCTACAGTTTCTACTCAACCATTGTGTAAATAACTCAAAGTTGTCTTTAGATAGCTACTGTATAAGATGAATACAACTAGCTCTATGTTAACCAAATTGAATATGCCAAGGTTAGCTAAGAAAGTAAAATGAAGACCCTAACCAAATAGCTAAACCCTAACCAGATTGAAGTTACAAACTTAAACTGTTACAAACCAACAAAACCTACCCTCAGGAAGCTACGAGATTTACAGAAATATTAATAATAATGTTTTTTAAAGGTCTAGATTTATGATAACTAAAGGTTTGCAGAAGGTACCGTAGTCATGGGTTAGCTAAATAGCCTTAAGCAATGTCAAGATAACTAAACACTCTGAAAAGACTAAAAGACTAAAGATTAGCTACGTGAATTTAAGCGCACTGTAAATAGCTGACGGTCATCTTGATATAGTTCAGTATTGCTCGTTTCTTTTTTTGAAGATACCCAGGTGTTAGCTAACATTGTAGCCAAAGAATGCTCGACATTAGCCAAACATTATTTGGAACACTGTTAGGCTCCACCGCCTCATTCTTGTAGCCAGCTCACTGAGATATTATAAACAACACCAGAAGCAAAGTTTTGATTCGATTTCGGCCTCTTTTTGGCTGTTGACAAACATTGCCATGGTAGCAGCTTAGACTTAGGTCACATGACCTGGAGGAAACTTCCCATGTCGTTCAACCTGTTCAACTGCACGCACACGCACGGGCACACACACAGAGACTGACAACAATCAACTAGTTAAACCCAACATTCAGTTTACTGTTGGTTTATACAATTTTAGTAACTTCCTGGTGACGTTTTTGGGACCTTTGGTTCTATACATTTCACATCATCATTACTTCTTTAGGCCAAAGTTATCAAAGGTGTTCCTACTGGCTAATCCCGTTCATGATAACAGCATTCCAATATTATAATTATTATTTATTTTCATTTGTCATTTTTCCTGTGATAATAAGAATTAGAATTATAAAATAAAAAAAAATAAAAAAAACATATATATATTTATACTTATATATATATATATATAAATAATTATAATAATTTATTGTATAATTCTAATTCTTATTATAGTATAGTAATATTTGGCCATTTTCATTTAAGTATATATTTTAAGATTTTTTTTTTTTTTTTTTTTTTGGCTCACCTATAGAGACCAGGCGAATGTTCTCCTGCTCCAAAAACTCCAGGGCCACAGAGACGTTCTCCAGCTTCATTTGCCTAAAGTTGGGCCTGGAGTGGAACTTCCGAAACATCTTTTTGTGGCTCAGAACCTCCAGCAGTGCGACGAGTAGGAGACCATCTCCTAGGTCCAGCTGGAGATCCACAACCCGCTTGTTGACGGACCGTAGGTGCTCATTTATCCAGCGTGTGAAGGTATTCTGCTGGATCTTTTTCCACGGCGCGTCCTCCGCAAGGTCCTTCTCGGTGACGGGCATGGTTCTAGTCTTGGTTAAATATGAGAACCGGCTTCTTGTTTAGGTTGGTTTTGTTTAAGGTGGGTTTCCTGGTCGGATCCTAAAACAGGTCTTAAGTTCGTCGAAACTCCAGTCTCGACGAATCCTGAAGCCGATGCCTTCACTGTCTTTTTGCAGGCTCGGAAATGTCAGGTTTGAACGCTTCGACGTTTTAGCGCCCTCTGTGGACTCAGTGATAAACTAAATAGCTTATATACACGTATAATAAACAGAAAAAAATGACTAATATTAAAAAAAAATCAAAAATAATAGGTTTCAATTTATTTTTCAACATAAAATCATCACTTAAATGAAATATAAAAACTTTTTGTTTGTTTTAAAATGCCACAGCTCCACCATCCTTGGTTTCTTCTTCTGAAGTGAAATTCAATAAAACAATATTGGTATATTTTCCAAGCATACTCAAAAACTGAATGAAAATGTGAGAATGGGCTGACTTGGTACGGAAACACTTGGTTCTACACATCATCTGAGAATGTTGAGATACCCTAGGGTGTTATTCTCAAGCCTTTCAAACTTAAGGTTAAAGACATTGGACATGAGCTGAGGAGTAAATATTAGACAAAGGATGTTGGAGACAAAGAACAAGAGAAGACAAGAAGACAACAAATCTATGAGGATTCTCAGTTATCCGGGTCATGGATGAGACGTCATGGTCAAGGTTGAATAGTTCCGTTAGTTCCGACCCGAAATTTTCTAAGGTATCTTCTGTACTCCCCACCACCAGTTAGAATTGAAGAAGCCTGTTGGATAAGAGGCAAGTCGTCTTCTTGAGAAAATATTCACATCCAGTTGCTTAACTGAATTGTTTACCTTAAAAAAAGACAACTTTTTAGATTATCAATCCAGAACAGAAGCTGTGTTTTTATTTTGTAGATTAAAAAAAAAAATCAAACTTCATTTTTTGATTCTTCCACTGAGTAAACCAGTTTATGATTTGTACTGTTAAAAAAAAAAAAAAAAAAAAATCAAGAAACTTTTTTTGCTGCTACATCTTTAATCCAAACATCTGCAAATTTAAACATCTTCCTCATTAGCGCCACCCACTGTCATCTCTTTAACAAAATAATCTGTTTATTTGTTTGTTTTAATCAAGATTAAAATTTACATTTGTAATTTTTTTTTTTCAACTTTAGTGTTATTTTTAAACAGGCACACAGTCGGACAGTCACACAGACACGCACAGTCTTATACACAAAGCCGCACACACGTGTTGATGTACTGGTACACAACCATGTCCTTAGAACATAAGAAGAAAGGTTGGTTCGTCTGTCACTTCCTGTTCAAACAGCAGAGAAAAAAAAATGTCTCAGGAGTTTGACCTGTTTTGTTTATTTATCTGACAAAGTTCCTGGACGCACACAATAACTGATCAATGATAAACCAAATGATGGTCGATAGCTCAAACAGCACCGTCGTTCAACTGACCTTCATTATTGTGGTTAGTCTGTGATTAATCACCAGTGGTTGTCAATAAATTAATGACCAATCAATTCATTAGTGAAATATTGGCAGTTACCAATCAGTGTGGGACCAATTACTGAAAAAAAAAAAAAAAAAAAAATCTCACTGATTTCTACAATTATTTCCTAGGGCATGGACCATGCAACGATGATGTCACTGACAGCATCATGACCAACGGTGTTCCCATGACTACACTGTCGCGGTCAGTTACGCCGAAACAATTCCTGTAGAAGTGTGATCCGTTTACAAACATTCAGGATAAAACCAAAAAAAAAAAAAAAAAAACAAACAGCCTCCATCACCACAAACAAACATGAATAATAATAATAATAATAATAATAAAAAAAAAGGTTGGTGTAAAAACCAAATTTCCCTCTACAGTTATGTACAGTGAGACTTTATACAGGAAACGCAGTGTATGTGTGTTTCAGTGTCCGCTTCTAGGTGGAGCTGCTCCTGGACAGATGAGGGTAGAGGATGACGGCTGTAGCCACCACAATCACTGCCACCAGTGGCATCCAGTGGCTCCGCCCACTCTGAGAGAGAACCAGAGAGAAAACACTCAATGTACACACTGTGTTTACATACAGGTACGTACACACGTACACACACACTGGTCAAAAAAAATTGAAAGAACACTTTGTTTATTGAGTATGGCATGAGGTCAGCTGAACCTTTACTGATAATGATGGAGTTGGTTAAGTCGCAGAGGGCATTGTCAATCAGGGGCACTAAAGTGGCAACAATGGGGGGAAACCCCCCCCGCCCCCCCAAAACAGGACTGGTTTTGTATGTGGAGGTCTTTTCAAGTTTCTCCCTCTTGGCTGGTTTTCCACTTGTTGCTTTTTGTTAGAGTCACTCCTGGCAGTATGAGGCGATTCCTTCACCCTACCGAAGTTGCAAGGGTTGTCCAACTCCTCCAGGATGGCACATTTGGGTCAGTGGTGGCTTAGTGGTTAAGGAAGCAGACTTGGGTCTGAAAGGCTTTTTCAGGTTTGAGTCCACCAGCTGCCAAGTTACCACCGAGTATGGCACCGTCCCCCTCACACCGCTCCCCGGGTGCTTAATCTGCCCCCCTGTTCACTTTGGTGATGGGTTAAAAGCAGAGGTCACATTTTGGTTGTGCGCAGTCTCCAGAACATGGAGGAGATTTCAAGAGACAGGCAGTTACTCTAGGAGAGCTGGACAGGGCCGCAAAAGGTCCTCAATGTCTCTCCCCGAACATTCAGAAAACAGACTTTCATGAGGGTTGTCTGAGGGCACGACGTCCTGTAGTGGGCCCTGTGCTCACGGCACGGCTTGATTGGCGTTTTTGCAAGAGAACACCAGAATTGACACGTCCACCACTGGTGCCCTGTATTGTTCACAGATGAAAGCAGGTTCACCCCGAGCACCTGCGATCGATGTGAAAGAACCTGGAGAAGACAAGGCAAGAACGCTACGCTGCCTATGCTGCAACATTGTTCAGGATGACAGGTTTCGGTGGTGGGTCAGTGATGTTCTGAGGAGGCATATCCACAGAGGGGACTCGCAGACTCTACTGGCTAGAAAATCGCAGTCTAACCGCCTTTAGGCATCAGGATGAAATCCTTGAACCCATTGTTAGACCCTATGCTGGTGCAGTAGGTCCTGGGTTCCTCCTGAGGCACGACAATGCCCGGGCCTCATGTAGCAAGAATATGCAGGCAGGACCTGAAGGATGAAGGAAGTGATACAATTGAATGGTCCTCACAATGATCCGGATTTAAACCCAATAGAACGCCTCTGGGGACATTGTGTTTTGGCTTATCAGGCGACACCAAGTTTCTCCTCAGACTTTACAGGGCTTAGGGATGCCCGTACACAGATCTGGGACGATATCCCACAAGACACCATTGGCCGTCTCATTATGAGCATGCCCCAGCTTTGTCAAGCATGCATACAAGCATGTGGGGGGTAGAGGGGGGCAGGCTGAAAACTTTTATTTATTGCCCATATCTCGGTAGATATCCCTTTTTTTTTTTTTTTCCACATTGAGATTGATGCGTTTTCAGAGTGTTCCTTTAATTTATTGAACAGTGTATATATATATGTATACAAAAATATATAGTATATAACTTTAAAAATGTTCAGAAAAACCATGATCTGTTCCTGAAATTCAGGGCCATTTCAATGTTTTGGAAAATTATAAGGAGCAGAAAGTGAAAGACAAACAGCAGCAGGGGGAAAAAAACAGAAATATGAAAACATGCAATCAACTTATCAGTAGAGGTGTAAGAAAATATCGTTACACTGAAGTTTCGCAATGTTTAGTTTCATGATACTGTATCTGTAACTGTTTTTATTAACAGTTAACAGTCAAATATTCATGGCGTTGGTTCATTTTATTTTGCTTTTATTTCTTCTCTAGTGATTACAAATTTAGATTTAGACTCCAATTTGTTCCAATTTTTTCCTACAATTAAATTGTTCAAAAAAAATATATATATATATGTATAAAAAAATATATAGTATATAACTTGAAAATGTTCAGAAAAACCATGATCTGTTCCTGAAATTCAGGGCCATTTCAATGTTTTGGAAAATTATAAGGAGCAGAAAGTGAAAGACAAACAGCAGCAGGTGGAAAAAAACAGAAATATGAAAACATGCAATCAACTTATCAGTAGAGGTGTAAGAAAATATGTTTAGTTTCATGATACTGTATCTGTAACTGTTTTTATTAACAGTTAACAGTCAAATATTCATGGCGTTGGTTCATTTTATTTTGCTTTTATTTCTTCTCTAGTGATTACAAATTTAGATTTAGACTCCAATTTGTTCCAATTTTTTCCTACAATTAAATTGTTCAAAAAAAATATCGTTGTGCCTATAGTATTGCAGTAGATCGCAATATATCGTCTCGCTGCCACATATCGTGTCAACAGATTCTTGCCAACACACACACACCTACTGGTCAGTGATATTTCTGATGGGCGTATACACACACACACACACACACACACACATACATATATATATATACATATATATATACATACATATATACATATATA